TTAATCTTTAGAAGGTCCCAATTATCTGGTTTCTCTTCTGCTGTTTGTGCATTTTGAGTTATACTTGATAATCTATTTATGCCATATATTGTTGTTGTTATGTGCCATCGAGTCAGACCTGACTCATAGCGACCCCTCCTTGGGTTTCCGAGGCGGTATCACTACAGAAGTAGATTGCCCAACCTTCCTCCCGAGGAGTGGCTGGTGTGTATGAACCGCCAGCCTTCTGGTTAGCAGTCAAGTGCTTTAGGCACTGTGCTACCAGAGCTCCTATGCCATATATTAGGGCCCCTAAATTTGCCCCCAGTTTTTCCTTGAGAAACTCTGTAGTTTTGGGTTTCATATTTAAGTCTTTGATCCATTGGATAGTTTTCTTTTAAGGGATCTAGGTTGCTCTACTTTGGCTTATCCAGGAATAGAATGCCCTTGTTTCTGCTTTTCAGAAAGCCGTCAAATTTTCTAATCTCCTGATAGTGATAATTTTTTGTTTTCATTATTGACATGAATTTATTCTTTTTTATTGCTCTCTGTCATTACTGTAGGGTGGCAAATATATATTCACACATAGCCATCTTTACCCAATATGTGCTCTTTTTCTCACAAATTACCAAAAAAATGTGTATTCTTGAAAGAGAAAATTAAATAAGTAAAAAGTGAAGAGCTCTGTCAAGGAAGGGGTTTACCATTGTTGATAGTTTGGTGTATAACCTCTCAGACTTTTTTCATGTACCTGCAAATGTGAATTACAAAGTGTATAATGTTTTAAAGAAATCTATTCACATGCTGCTTTACAACTTTCTTTTTAGTAAAAACATTGTTTACAGCCTTCCATTTGCTAGAATGTTTGTTCCCTCAAGACAGTCTTGTATATATCAAGACAGTCTTTTGTTTTAGTTATTATTGCATACTCCTGACTAGTACCTTGCTCAGGTCAGAGAAGATACCCAGATAATTTTTGATTGATTGATTGAATATAAATCTCCGTAGGAATAAAATTAATAAAATAATTTATGTAAGAGGAATTATTCTAGGTATAGGAGGTTTATCATGAGCCGAGGAATTAAGATAGGTTAGAGCATAGTAAGTGAAGGTGACGTGCAGACATTTTCTTTCTTGTGTTGGAAGTTTGGAAAATCTAAGATTTTAAAGGATTTATGATCCTAAAAGTTTAGACTTGTTATGTCAGCCAGTAAGAAGCTATTTTAAGTTTTTCAAGAGGCAGCATTGAGCTAAGTTTTATAGAAAATCTGGTCCAAGTAGAATACGGAATGTGCACTGGACAGAGAGGTTAGCTAGTTAAAATCAACCATCGAATTGATTCCAGCTCATAGTGACCCCTATTGGGTTTCCAAGGCTGTAAATCTTTATGGAAGTAGATCACCCTGTCTTCCTTCTGTTCAGGAGCTGGTGAGTTATGAACTGCCGACCTTCTGGGTAGCAGCCAGATGCCTTATCCACTCTGCCACCAGAGCTCCGTAGATTATGGTATGAGGTTAAAAAGGGTTTAGACTCGGGGGAATTCAGATGATGTTGCTTCTGGTCTTGACTAATTCTGTAACTATAGTCCAGTAATGTCATATCTCTAGACCTTGGTTTCTCACTTGTAAAATGAGCAAGTGATGAAATGGATGATTTAAAAGCCCTTCCAACTTCAGGAGTCTTTAACATAATTTCTCTTTTGCTTGACTTTGTGTTTGTTTTTCTATATTCTTAAAATCAGTCATTTTATTGGGGCTAAATAATACTGGCTTGCTACTTTTGGATTTTGACTGCTAAGTTACTGAGTTATGTATAAGCTTGTTCTTGTAAAACATAGGCAATTTGATTAAAAGTGAGAAAAATGTTTTCATATAAAATACCAATTTATTCCTTCAGGAATTAATATCTGTACCTGATGTGGCGTCAAGTCAACTATATCCAGAAGAAGAACAAGAGGAACTTGATTTTTTATTTGATGAAGAAATAAAACAAATAGAAGGTCGAAAAAACACATTTACTGATTGTTCTGATAATGATTCAGATTATGAAATTGATGACCAGGATTTAAACAAGATTTTGATTGTAACTCAGACACCACCTTACATGAGAAAACATTCTGGAGGAGATCGAACAGGCAATCACATGTCTCGGGCAAAGATTACATCAGATCTTGCTAAAGTTATCAATGATGGCTTATATTATTATGAACAGGATTTATGGATGGAAGAGGATGAAAACAAACACACAACTATAAAGGTAATTGTTTTTGGGTAACGTGTCTCCTGATACACTGGTTTGAGTGTATATTACTGTTTATATTTTCCTAAATTTGAGGCTTTAGTTTATGAAATTTTGAATATAAATTTTTTAATTTGAAATATTCCGTTGAAATATAGCTGATAGTTTCTGAGAATAGCCATGTAATAAATACTATAATTACAAAAAGAAGTGGTACTCACTGACTAAAAGCCTTGTTCTTTTTTAGGTGAAATTTTGTGAACTCTTCAAAATAAGAAGACCTTTTCTAATAAAATGGAATAAAAAAGTTACTATAGACAGGCTTTAGTTTATATGCTCATTCCTTACCTGCTATAATTGATCCAGCTATATGAGGCAATGGCTTTAGAGTGGAGTTATTTTCATTGCCTCCTTTCACCTCTCACACCTTAGACTATGGTAGTGGAACTAGTTTGGACATAGTATGAAAGATTAAAGTAGTTGATTGTCCTTTTCTAATAATTATTATATGATGCTAGGGATGCTGTTTGGAACCTCATTTTAATGTTTTATCTTCTTTTCATCCAGATCCTGGCCCATATCCCAGTTATTAAGATAAAATATGAAAAATTTCCCCGTATTGTTAACAATGACATTTATCACTGAACACCCACAAAGTTGAAATTTGTTTTGGAGATAGAATTGCAGGAGGAAAATTATATAAGTATAATAGGTCAAATAGGAAAGAGATCTTAGAAATAGTTAATGGTATGACATTATAGTCAGTTGTATGGTAGGTAATTGTATAGTTTGAGGCTATGTAGTGGTTGAATAGGGGAACTCTGGTGGCATAGTGCCTAAGGCATTTGACTGCTACCCAGAAAGCTAGCAGTTCAGACCCACCACCCATTCCTTGGAAGGAAGACTGGGCAGTCTATTTCCATAAAGATACCACCTTGGAAACCCAGGGAGGGGTCGCTATGAGTCAGAATCGACTCCAGGCAGCGAGTGAGTCGTTGAAGAGGGAGAGAAAGAGCTGCTTGTCCATAGGGGCTCATGTCATATGAAGTGTGTTGTTTGGCTCCTCAATTCTTCTTGGAATTCGCATCACTGCTTTCAGCCTTTTATGTTTTCTAATCACTGTGTTTTTGGAGGCTCTGCCACAGGCTATGATAGTTTGTCAGTAACCTAACAGCCTGGGTAGTTTTCTGCTTATTCTGCTGCTTAGGGATGGAATTATGTTCTCAGCTTAAAGTCTTTCCTTGTTAAACATTATTGTTTTATTTGTGATACAGGCAGTACCCAGGTTACAAATGAAATTTGTTCTGAACTGTGTCTTTAAGAATTTGTAGGTTAAGTCAGAACAGGTTCATGCAGTTCTTATTTAGCCTTACTTTGGTGCAAAAAAGGCTCCAAGACTTTACAGTGATTTAAAAGCTGTCCATGCAGAAAGTGAAGCTTTGTGATACAGAATGTATTGTGAGTGGAGGATTGGTCCAGGGAACAAGAAATTCTAAAAAATAACACTATATGAAAAATAACTTCATAGAATTTCTGAAAGTTTATAAAAAAAAATAACGAATTGGAATTCTGAACTCAGTCATTGAAGGAATTAACGGCAGATTAGATAGAATAGAGAATTGAGTGAATTGGATTACAGTTCACAAGAAATTAGCGAGAGGCAAAAGATAAAATACATGAAAGAGGATATAGAATGATTTTTTTTTTAAAATCACAAAAATGATGTGGCATCAAACTCCACCTAACTTCAGGAGGAGGAGAGAGAATTGCCATCAGCATCAGCATCAGCTCAAACCTGACTCCTATGAGGTAGAGGTCAGACATACCTCTACTCTCCATTTGTTTACCTATAGTGCTGCCAGCCATCCCTTCCATAGCACTCTGTACTTCTCAGCTGGGTTCAGTAATTCATTGAAATGGTCACACACAATTCATAGACCATATTTAGAATTACAGAGTTTCTTGGGAAGTAACACGTTAAAATTGAGGATTAGGATCAAGTTGGAAGAACAGAAACAATTCAACATATGATTGTTCAATCAGGACAGCTTCTTCTTGGCTGTGCCCAAGGCAGGCCTTTCAGCCTTTTGCCCTTGACTCTCAGACCTTGGTTATTAGCTCTCAGCCTGGCCTCTGCTCTGCTTGGACAAATGTTACAAGGCTCTTTAGCTCCACTGATAGGTTCCCAGCGGCATCCCAGTCTGTCAAGAAGTCTCCTTCCAGGAGATGCTTGACTCCCTCACTCCATGGTTTGGCAGTCCTGGCCTGCTAGTCCTTGCCACAGATGTCTCAGGACATCTTCAGTATTACAGCTTTTTCCGTCTCTTGGATCTAGGAGGTTCTCAGTGCAGGGACCCTGGGTCCCAGGACACGTTCCACTCCCAGCTCTTCTTCTTCTTTTTTTTTTTTTTCTTAATTGTGATTTGGGTGAAGATTTACATAGCAAATTCACTCTCCATGCAGCAGTTCACGTATACTTTGTCTCATGACACTGACCACAGTTTACCACAATGCAACAGCTCCCCTCCCACTTCCTCCCCATAGTTACCTCATCCCTGTGCCCGTCCCTCCATGGACTCCTGC